AGAAGAAAGAAAAACTTACCCCCTCGAGCTCCTCCACCAACTCGCCAGCCGAGCCATGCTTCCGCAGATGCTCCTCCACGGCCTCCACCAGCATCTCCTCCTGCACACCCAGATACTCGACAATCTTCTTCTCCACAAACGGCCGCAGCTTGTCGCGCACCACCACGTCGTCCATAAACTCCCACTTGACCTCCCACGCCCAGAGCCCTTCCTTCTCCGACGGAATCTCCTGCGCCAACGCGCGCACCGCCTGTGAAATCTCCTCTTCCGTCATGCCCGCGGCACCAGAAGAGGCGTCCATCTGGATGGGGACGAGCTGCCGCTTGGTGGACTCGACCTCCTCGTCGTCCAGCAGACCCTCCACCTCGGCAATCGTGCGTCGCTGCGGTGCTGCGCGGGAGGCCTGTGCTCGCTGTACCGCTGCACCGAGTGACAGCTTGAATGGCTGAGGCGCGGCAGCGGCGGCGGCAACTTCGCGTTGCTCCATCTCCCGAGCCTGCTGGTCCAGGAATGAGTCCGCCATGCCACGCGCCTGCTCCTGTCGGGCCTCCTCACGGCTCCGCTCGATTCTCTCGGCCTGCCGGTCGGCTTCGTCTCGCGCCTCTTCCTCAATCCGCTCCGCCGCCCGTTTCCTTGCCCAGGCGGCGTGGTCTCGGTAGTAGATGTGCGTCTTACGGGCGGCCTCGCGGTCGTCGTCCCATCCAACCTCCCTGTCCAGCTGCTCCTGTTTTCTGCGTTCAAAGTTCTCCAGCTCATGCCTTTCCCGTTCCCGCTCTCGCTCAAGGGCCGCCTGTCGTGACCGTTCTCTGTTGACCCATTTCCGCTCGGCTTCGGCGTACATCTTGTCCTCCTCAGCCTTGCGCTCAGCCTCGCGTCTCCTCCAGAGCTCCTCATCGCTGGCGTCAGTGTCCTCGTCCTCCCTTCTGAGAGTGCCGTCGGCGTTGTTGATCCCTCCATTGACAAAGGACACTCCTCGGTTCGGCCCGTTCTGACCCTTGGGGCCGGCGGGTGCGTTGGGCACGGAAACGCCTCGAGGTCCCAGCGGCACATTGTTCGAATTCCTCGGCGGCGAGGCGAGCCTTGACCGGCCAGGGGCGTTTCGTCGTCGTTCTGACTCCTCGAGTTCCTCCTCTCGCTGCAAGCGCTCCATATCGCGCTGGTTGCTTCGCTCACGGAAAGCGGCAATTTCACCCGCCACAACCTCCCTCATGTCGGGCGGGATATCTGCCAGCTCGTCCTCTTGAGCCAGGGGTATGTTGACCACCTCCACGTTCTCCTCAGTGCCCGCCGTATTGCCCATCGCGACGTCGCCGTTAGCGTCGGTAGTTTCGACAACGGGCGGGCGGAAAAGCTCT